TGAATGTGCAAATGCGCTTTACACAATTGATGTGTGTATGGATTGTGATAAGAGTTGTATGAGCCCCTAATAAAATGATTTTTTTTAAAAAGAGTTCATGGGGGAGGAGGCAGTGGGGAGGGAGGGGAAAAATGAGGAGCTGATACCAAGGGCTCAAGTAGAAAGCAAATGTTTTGAGAATGATGAGGGAAACCAATGTGCAAAAGTGCTTGACACAATGGATGGGTGGATGGATTGTGTTAAGAGTTGTACAAGCCCCCAATAAAATGATTTAATCATTTAAAAAATTGAACTTAGAAGAATACTGCCAAATAGAGACGATGATGGCTTGCTTTTCTGATTAATAAGATTAAAATTCAGTTATGACGACTTTGGAATTCCTGAATCTTTGTTATCTATTTTCATAGGTAACCTACAAATGCATAACTAATAAGGTGTTTGTTGTTTTTTAAAAAAATTATTTGACATTGAAAATGAATTGTTGTCCTCTAATATGTATATATATATTCTGTGCCCCTGCTGCTGGACAGCAGAACACAGAGGGGAGAAACCCGGGTTGGTAGTCAGCGTGTTTAACTGCAGTTGGCAGGAGGAATGCAGTGAGATAGCTGATGGGCAATGCAATTCAAAGTGCTACGAACAGGTTCAGAGGAATTAGAAAGTGAATATTTTTAAGGTGGATCAATAGGCCTGCATTACTTTTATTTTTCTGAATGTACAAAACTCTTCTTAATACCTACCACTCTAATGAAAATATGAAGGCAAACAGTATTGCTTCTTTTTAAAAAATGTCTTATGTGTACAAATTATTGAATAGAGTCTATTTACTTATAATAGATTGGAATGGCATAACTTCTTTAGGTACATTCCTTACACTTTATTAAGGCAAGTAAATAATCCCATAAATCTTTACAAAAGTATTTCAGTAAAGAAAACAGCTCTTAACACCACAGATAGCATATATCATTAAAAAATACAAATTTGATGTAACTTGTTTTTAAAATTGCTTTCAAGTATATGGGCAAGCCAATGAAACTTTCATGGATACATTTTTAAAATATAATGTGTTCTTTAGGAAGCTGTGTTTGCACGGTGGTTTAACTGTTAAACTGCACGGTGAGCTGTTCAAACCCACTAGATGCTCCACAGGAGAAAGATGAGGCTCCCTGGTCTGGTAAAATTTAACAATCATGGAAACCCTAAGTAATAGTTCTACTTTGTCCTACAGGGTCCCCATTATTTGTAATCAACTCAATGGCAGTGGGGTACTGATTATTAAATTATTCTTTAGGAATACATAAATGAGTATATTTGTACATATTCTTGTTTTACAGTCAGACAATAGATTTCTAAAGTAGAAATGGGAAACACTAAGAAAAATTTGACAAAAAATTTGATTCCTCATATAAATGTATCAGAATATTAAAATTTGATGCAATTTTAAAGGGAAAGAGATGTCACATAAATGCAATGCTTTTACATATTCTTACCAACACTAAAGTTGCTGTGAAACACTTAAAATTATGGTACTTAAATTGTCTTACTCCAATGAGATGTAAGATAAAAGAAAGTTGATTTGAAACCCATAAATAGGTTTATAGATTGATATATAGCTGATTTTTCTATTTTCTAAAAGAATTATAGAACAAGAACAGAAATAGCAAGATTATGTAAAATCCTTAAAAACGGAATGTGGGGTTCAAAGTTTTTCCTCATTTCTTTCAATTTGAGTGTAACCTTCCCATTTATTTTTCTACTTTAGCTCTTTGACCATTTTATCACAACACTTTAATTTCTCTTCTTGAGCCACCCTTGAACCATATATGTTAGTCTCTCTCTCTCTGTCTCTCTCTCTCTTTCTGTCTCTCTCTAATGACCATTTGCTTTCCTCATCTGTGACTTCCTTGGTGTCAAACCAAAATTCTTCTGGTACAGTAAGTAGTTATAAATGTGTCCATTTTGAAAGATACAGTTTTATGCAGTACAATGACTCAGCTGTGTTGCGTTCTAGTTCACATTAAAAAGAAGTAGCAAGCATTGTTCACTGACACCTAGATTCTTTGCATTCGTCTAGAACAAGGCAACCGCCATCAAGTTGAAGCTGACTCATAGTGGCCCCAACAGAACAGGGTAGAACTGCCCATGTGTGCTTCTGAGACTAACTCTTTAAGTAAGTAGTAAGCCTCCTATTTCTCCCAGAGAGCAACTGGTCGT